CTGAGCCACTGACTTGTTCAAGACCCTCTTTCTGCTCTGTGACTCAGACTCCCCACCTGTAAAATGAGAAATCTGACTGAACTTGTTCCTCTTAACGTTTTTGCTGTGGGCTCCTTGAGAATAGAGAATATTTGATAAAAAAACTTTGGACTAACTTCCCAGGATGTTAAAAAACAAACAAGCAAACAAAAAATAGCGAACATACTCTATCCTTCTACAGAAGGTATAAAACCATTCTTTTCCTTTCACTAGGCACCAGCAGAGGGAGTTCCAGATTCACCTAAAATATGGTTTCAAATCTCAGGTACTTAACATTCAGGTATCTGCGTAAACGTTACTTTATCAGAAAAGCCTCCCTACATCCCTTAACTGTACCAGTTCTATTATTATAAGCCATTTTAGCACCCCGTAATTTTTCAAAACATTTGACTGCAACTATAATAAGTTATCTCTTTAATATCTGTGTATTCCATTATATTCTAAGCATCATGATGTCAAAAATATCTGTCTTGTAACAAAGATTATCCCTTTGACCAAACTCTAGCCAGGCTCCTCTGAGTCTCCTTCCTGACTACACCTCAACCTTGGCCTATAGAAACTACAGACTCTTAACACAAATGATTTTATCCACCCACTTCCTCACATTAAAAGATTTTAACAAACACTAACATAGTTTCTAACATCTCAAGGCTGCATCTCCAGGATGACGCTAACTCCCTTTAAGTGCCTGCCTGAGAAATCTTGAGGCTGCCCAAAGAATTCACAATTCTAGCTATTACCTAATCATAGGCCCCTGACCATTCTTTCTTAGAGCATTTACTAAAAAGGGACTTACAATTGTGAATTCTTTTTCTGTTTCTTTGAGATGTATGTGTTTCTCTTACAACTCAGAAGTGTCTTTCTGAAGGATAGGACCACTGCCTCCTAGACTCTGTGGGAGGATAGAATCCTGACTTGGAGCATTGCCAGCTAACAGACATGCTGGTCTAATCAGCATTTACACTCACCAACTCTTTGTAATTTTTTACTTCCCCAACTCTATTTAAAATGCCTAGCCATCTCTATGCAAATAAAAGTTGCATCAGTTCATGCTTGACCCTCTTTACTATTGCAGCCGTATGTTCCTGATTAAAATCTATCCTCACCATTTAAACTAGTGTCCAGCTTTGTCTTGACACTTGCTCATTATAGCGTGCCTAGTCCCTAGCATGGTGTTTGGCATGTCGTAGATGCTCAATAAATATTTCCCGTTGAAATATGTTGCTTAAACTCATCTATTTGTTTCAGTTATTGATTGCAACAAACCATCTCAAAACTGCCTTTATTATGCTCATGGATCCTATGGGTCAGGAATTTGAAAAGGGCACCTCTCTTCTATGTCCCATGATGTCCTGGCCACAGCTGAGATGACTTGAATGGTTGCGGTGACTGGAATGGCTAGGGAGGAGCCATTTCCAAGATGGTTTCTTCACTCATCTGTCTGATGCCTGGACCAGCTTGGCTAGCTGAAGGTTGGGCTCAGCTGGTACTCTTGACTGGATGTCTATCTGTGGCCTTTATAGCATGATGGTACCAGGATAGTCAGATTTATTCCCTGGCAGCTCAAGGCTCCAAGAACAATGACCCGATGAACAAGGTAGAAACTTCATGGCCTTTTAGATCTAGCCTAAGAAGTCACAGAGCTTCACTTCTACCATATTCTATTGGTTGAAACAGTTATAAGTCTGCCTTGATTCAAGGGGAGGGAGTATCAAAGAATTCACAGCCTTATTTTCAAATCAGAGCTAGATTTGGGGGCAATTCTTTTGAAATTAGTCCTATGTACCAGTGAGGCTTAGGTTTGGTTGCATAAGATAGAACAAAACCATAGTGATAGTGACTTTAACGAAATAGAGTTTATTTCTCTCTCAAATAAACAGAGCGTGGAAGGAAGATGTCAGGATTGGTTCAGTGTCCACAATGTTAGGGAACTGGGTTCCTTCTGCCATGGTGTTTTGCCACTCTCAGTGCTTGACTTCTACTTCATGACCCAAAGTGGTTGCTTGAACTCCAGTCTTCATATTTAAATCCAGTCAGCAAAGATGAAGGAAGGATCATGAAGTTTCCTTTAAGGACATGATGCAGAAGCCTCGTCTGACGCCACCACATACAGCCCGTTGGCAGTACACTTAGTCATATAGCCCATGTCTAGCTGAAAGAGAGGCTGAGAAATCTAGTCTTTTTTTGGAAGACCATGGGTCCAGAAAAACAAACGAATGAAAAATCAGGGGTTCTACTGTTGTGAAAGAAGAGGAGAATGGATATTGGCAGACATCCAGCAGTTTCTGCCACACCTTTTCATTTCATTCTATTTCCTGTTCTATCACTAACCAGCTGTGAGCTTGGACAACACACTTCCTTTGTTCTTGTTGCCAATTACTCTGGTAATTAGGAAGGAGGGTGTTGCAATCTAATAAAGAAGTTTAAAGCATTAAGCGGATAAATGTGTCAATGCTCTGGTTTCAGGGAGGAGAACCAGAGCTCTACCCACCCAGCCTCCTTTTTACTTTCTTGGGTGGTCCTCAAGAGTTTCTGGGGACTTTGAAAACTCTCAGATTAGATTACCACTGAGGCCTTTCCAAGGAAGAAGACCTAAAGAATTCATGTTTGTTACATTTTGGAAGTAACCTCCCTTTGCCCTTTACCAAATACCTCCCCGGTGAGTTCAAGCAGATGCCTGTGGAAGTGAGTGTGAGATACAAACCTGCCATTAATTGAGTATTTACTGTGTGTCTGACGCTGTACCAAGCTCTGAAAACCTAAAGTGACCACAGTTTATACTCTTAAATCCGTTACTTTCTTTTTATTACAAGACCAGGATTGAATTAAACATAGTCTCATGTACCAAGCACCATAACAAAATATGATGGTGTTATGGATCAAATCGTGTCTCCAAAAAGATATGTTGAAGTCCTAATCCTTGGTACCTATGAATGTGACCTCATTTGAAAATAAGGCCTTTACAGATGTAATCGCGTTAAGATGAGGTCATTAGAGTGAGCCCAAATCCAACATGACTGGTTTCCTTAGAAGAGTAGAAGGGATACAGATATAGATACATATCAGAAGAATGCTATATGATGATAAAGGTAGAGATTGGAGTGAGTGAGGCATCTATAAACTCAGGAATGCTAAGTAAGGATTGCCAGTAACATCAGCAACTAAGAGAAAGGTATAGAACAGATTCTCCCCTGGAGCCTTCACAGAGAATATGGCCTTGCTGACAGGACTGCTTAATTTTGGACTTCTAGTCTCCAGAACTGTGAGGGAATAAACTTCTGTTGTTTTCAGCCACTCGGTCTGTGGTGGTTTGTTATGAAAGCCCTAGGAAACTAATAGAGATGGTTAGTTTGATGTGTCAGCTTGCTAGGCCTTAATCCCCAGTTATTCAATCAAATACTAACCTGATGTGAAGCTGTTTTGTAGCTATGATTACAATGAGTTGACTTTAAGTAAAGGAGATTATCTAAGTGGGCCTGATTTAATCAGTTGAAAAGCCTTACGAGCAGAATTGAGATTGCCCTAGAAAATAAATTCTGCCTGTGGACCACAGCTTCAGTTTGTGCCAGAAAGTTTCAGCCCGCCCTTCCTGATGGCCTGTCCTTTGGATTTTGGACTCGCTTAACCAGCCCCCACAATAATATAAGCCAATTCCTTGCAATAAATCTCTTACCATATTTCTTCCTGGTTCCTGAGGAACCCTGACTAATACACAAAAGGATGATGCCGTCTTGAAATACATTTACCTAAAAGGCTGCGGAGTTGCCAAAGGCTTCACAGAGGAGGCGGCTTTTGGCAGGGCCTTGAAGGAAAGGTAGCAGTTTGCCAGATGGGGAAGGGCTTTTCAAAAAGAAGAAACAGCATGTGCAAAGACCTGGAGTGGTGAAGACCTGCCTCTCCCCTCCCCCAGCAGCTGGAGATAGGCTTTGCAGAATTTGGAGTCACATTCTGAGGTCTTCTGCCAAGCTGAGGACTTTAGCACTTGCCCTGGAGGACAGGGGTTCTCTTTTTTTTCTGCATTGTCTTTTAATTTAGTTTTTATGTTTTGCTTTTTTAATTGAGAGATAACTTTCAAAGTCAAGCGCATAAGTTTTAAAGAACTTAATTAATTTTTACACCTGTATATGTCTATGTGATCCCCACCAAAATCAAGACATAGAATCAGGGCTGGGATTAGGTGAGTGAGGTGAGCAAGGTGAGCACAGGGACAGATTCTACCTTTATTTAAAATTTTGACATTTTGTTTTATTATGGATTTTTGCATTCATTTTGACTTTTTAAAATACTGTTTATTTTGATTATTGAGTCGAGTTTTTTTGTTTGTTTGTTTGTTTGGCTCATTCTTAAATTTCGCCCCTGGGAGAGAGCCTCAGGTCTTATTCTAGTCTTGACGCCTTAAATATTTCCAGCACCCCAGTGGTTCCTTTATTCCGTCAATCCTCCAAAGGGAAACCTGGCGCCAAGGCGGGGTTATTTAACGTGAACGGATGGCCCGGATGCGTAGAATCGTATTATGGGTGCCTATGCATGTGTTTTTCTAAGGGGACAGTTCATCGCTTAGATCAGCTTCTTGAAGGCTTCTATAAAGTGAGTGTAAGAAACATAATACTGAGTATTAGGGAGCCAGAGGAGGGCTTGTTTTTCAAGAGATCCACTGTGTCTTAGGTCGGGCCTTCAGGCCTTAGTTGATAGATAGCCTGGTGTCCATTAGCCTGGCTGTGCCTCAGTTTTCTTATCTGTAACATGGAGTTCATAATCCTAGTACCCCTCTTTTTGGACTAAGGGTCAGATGAGATAATGGAAGAACCCTGCAAGCCAACATTTACAGAGCGCTTACGATATGCCAGGCGCTGAGCTAAAGGTTTTACACCGTTACATTTTTAACAATGCACACAGCCCAACAGACACAAATCTCTGCAAGTCCAAGTGCAGACTGCGTAAAAATAGTCACCCTCCGCGGCATGGGGGACAAGCTCCTGCCGCCCGACGCGCGGGGCGGGAAGGGGGCGGTGCACAGGTGGGGCGGGGCGGCGTAGAGGTTCCGGGATCCGGGTCCCCGGCTGCGCCTCCGCTTCG